TCTGAGACTTAAGATCCATAGCTAGGATACACAAGGAGCTGAAATTTCATCTCTTTAAGTCTGGTACGTTTTGGACTACATGATAACTGTCTCAGTGTCCGCAGGGATTCAGAAATTCATTCATTCTATGAATATTTCCGAGCACCTGCTCTGTGTTGAATAGTGTGCTGATGTTGAGGTGGTGATCTTGATTCAAAGATCGCCCCTGGAGACCCAACAGAATAGAACAAGAGGGCAAAAAGGCTGGGAAAAAACCTTGACGAGATCTCAGCAAAATAGAAAGAGCCAGTAAAGTTACTGAGAATAAGCACCCTAAGGGGGTGTGGTGTCAGAGAAGACAAAAGGAGAGTGTTCCAAGGGAGGTCAAGGGGGGAGAAGTGCTTTCCTGGTTAATTCCATTACCCAAACTTCATTATCTTTCTCTCATCCTATTGTTCTGAGAGTTTCTAATTTAATTCACATCAGAAGATAGGATTTCCTTTTACTTTATTTTGACCCTAATTCCGTATGTAGACCTTTCTTATGGCAGATACATTTCAAATTCAAATGTGCTTGAATCAGATGTATAAATTGAATAATATATCATAGGCACAGGGATTGAAAGCTCATAGTTTTCTACTTTTTCAAAGGGTGGTAATAATCCACTATTACAGAGGATCAAAGATGAGCTCTATTTTACATGATGTGACACTTGAATATGAGTGCAACTATTAATAATTCTCTGGGAATCTGCATGTAAAACAAACTGGTGAAGTCAAACTAATATCCTGACTATAAAAACAAACAAACAAACAAACAAACAAACTAATATCCTAACTATAATCATGGAATTCTTTGGATTTCCTACCTTGTATCCACCCATCTTTGCTCAACACATCAGTCCATGTTGGGTAGGAGACATACATGTATAGAGCACAGTCTACACAAAGGTAATCTTTCTAGATAAAACTGGTGCAACTATTCTTTCCTCAAGAGAATGGAGAGAAAACTGTTACAATTTTGTGGGGAGTGTTTCATTTGGCATTTAAAGGCTCCTTTTGGTTTAAAAATATGGGAGAGAGAAACAGAAATTGTAATGACATCAATAAAAGATTTGAAGTAAAAATACGGGAGAGAGAAACAGAAATTGTAATGACATCAATAAAAGATTTGAAGTCAGTACATTTCCTTGTGTAGATCTCTATCCCAAAGTTAAGAATCTATGTTTTTCTTCATGAAATGGACAACTGGCAGTCAGTGAAGGTACAGCAGTCACAAACTTTGATTTCCAATACAGTATCTGAATTTTGGTTTGGTGTGATCTATTCTTTTATTTTGGAGAAGGAAATGGCAAAGCACTCCAGTATTCTTGCCTGGGAAATCCCAAGTCAGACACAACTTGGCAACTAAACCACCACCAGCAGCAGCATTCTTTTATTTGCTAATAAAACTTTAATGTAAGTTTCTATAAGGAAACTCAGATGTATCCTATTGTGTCTGCCTTTTGCTTCTACCAACATTTTCAGAGGTCAAGCTGGAAGAAGAGGTATGTTGTGGTGGTGCCTGATAATAAAGCTTTATCCCTCACTTTCATTGTTCAGTTATTCAGTTGATAAGTCGTGTCTGACTCTTTGCAACCCCATGGTCTGTAACCTGCCAGACTCCTCCGTCCATGGGACTTTCCAGGCAAGAATACTGGAGTGGATTGCTATTTCCTTCTCCAGGCCATCTTCCCTACCCAAATCAAACCGCATCTTCTGCACTGGCAAATGGATTCTTTACCACTGAGCCACCAGGGAAGTCCCTTACATATTAATAAATTCCAAGGAAAGGAGGAGAAATAGCTACCAATGTGGGTGATAGAGAAATAAAAACCAATGTTTCTGCCAAAAAAAAAAAAAAGGCTTACTGAAAAGCTTTCATAGTATTATTCCCCAGTTAAGCTGACTTGTGCTCTGTCCTTTTAGCCACTAAATTATTTTTTCTCTCTTTTTAAAGACAGTATGACATGGTAATTGTCATTTGTTCTTGTATATGTCACACTCAGACTGGAAAACGTGAATTTTCCTGTGTCCCCCAGTGGCAGGGCAAGCACGTCTGTGCTCGCCAAAGGTGCAGGCTATGCAGTTTTCTCTCCTCACCACACATTTTTGCAATTACTCAATTCTTACAGGAAGGCAAGAGAGCAGATAAACAAGTAGCTATGGGAGTCTCAAGAGGAGGAAAGAGATCAGGATCATCTTAATGTTCCCAAGTACAACATAAAAGAGAGTTTTCTGACTCTCAGACCATCTCACCCACGTTATAAAGGCAATAAGGTAGACAAAGATATGCTCATTTCTGTTTCAGTAATAATATGTGTCAGGATCGTTTTGCATGAAGGTTAGCAGAGCCATCCATCATTTCAGTGGAACTGCATATTTTCTTGTTCAGCATTGATAGATTTTTATTTTAACCTTAGAAGTTCCTCTCAAGGGACTTTATTAGGGACACTGTCACTTTTTATTCTGCTCTGTTACTTCTCTTTTGTAAACTTTGATGTATGCAGACAACACATTCTGGCTAGGGAAATTTAATTAGGTAAGTCTACAAATTAATTGTTGCAATTAGACTGCTTCTAACTGCCTGGTGTTATGAATTTATTTATGCAGTAATTATTATCAGATGTCTGGGATAAAAGCCTGCAGAGCTAAAGGTGCTACCTTTCAGATGTATACACAGCACTCCACGGCAATTAGGCACAGAAAAAATAAAAGCAGGTATTTTTTTAAAAATGAAGGAAAAAATATGTCTCCATGGCCATATGCACATACAGATTTTGACAAGCAACTTGTTAATAAAACCTAAAGAGGATTGCTTTCTTCGTATATTGCAAAATTCAAACTGTTAGAGATTACATAAATCACCATAAAACAGTTTGTTAGTATAAAACTAAATAAAAATATAAAGTCTATCCTGTGAAAAGCATATAGGTATTTGTTCATAATCATGATTACAAGGGCATATTCGAAGACACTGATGATTTTTCAGTAAATTTTGTTTTTAAGCTTTAAGATCATTTACCACAACAAATTTAATGGGTGCATCTTTTAAAGTGTCTTTAAATTTTAAGGAAATAAACAATGGTGCTTCACATTGTTTTCTCAAATCTTTTCTTCTGTAACAAAGGGCATTGTGGCTTTTAGTAGAAAGACACAGATCTAATACTATTAGCTGAATGAAGGAAAGCAAAGAGAGACCAATACTGGTGGAGACAGACGCCTGTGAACAGAAGTTTGAAAGTCAAACAGTAAAGTGAGAATGAATCATTGGTAGAAATGTAAATTGGTGTAATTTTACTGAAGAACAATTTTGAAATGAATTCTTAGTCACTTTAGAATATTCATTACTTTTGATCCATTAGTATTTTAAATGAGATTTAATCTAAAATAAATAATACCAAATTTAAAAATAACTGATACTCATCTCAGTGTCAATATTTAATAACCCCCAGATTGTAGCAACTCATATTTTTACCATGATTATTACTATGTTTTCAAAAACTGGAATTAGTGACTCTTTACTTCATTTATTACCACATTCATTTAATAAATATTTATTCATCACCTACTGAATACAAAGTGTTTTTCTATGCATTGGGGACACAAAGAGAAAATTCCTACTCTAAGGGAGTTTATATTCCTCTGAGGGATGATATAAACTAAGTCAGGTAAAATATAAACAATATTATTTCAGAACAATATCTAAGTGGCAGGAAAATTAAGCCAAGTGAGGTATTGGGTGGCCGAGTGTGGCATTTAGAATGCTCTGCTTTGGACAGAGGAGCCAGAAAGGCCTTTCTGATATGGTAACATTTGATAAAGAGATCAAACTAGGGACTAGTGAATGTTATACTAAAAAAAAAAAAAAAAAAGACACATAAAAAAAAAAAAAAAAAAAAACTCAATCAAAAGATAATGGCTGAATGGATAAAAAAAAAAAAAAAAAGACACATATTTCATTATTTATTTTACATAATACTGGTCTACTTATATTTTGCAAAATAAACAAATAAGTTTAGATTTGATACAATAAAAATCCATGAAGTCAAATGTTTAATAATTTCAAAAATAAAAATGTACAACTATGTTATGACACCAACTAACCCACATGTTCATAAATTCAGAAGTTAAATAAGCATTGTCATTTTAGTATGTTATTAAGTGATAAAATTACTAGTAGAAAATTATTACTTAAAAACAAACTAAAAGACTTCCCTGGTGGTGCAGTGGTTAAGACTCCATGCTTCCACTGCAGGGGCATGGGTTCTATCCCTGGTCAGGGAACTAATATCCTGCATGCCAACACAGCATGGCAAAAATAAATTTTAAAAATTTTTTAAAAGATTTAAAACAGACACTCCACAAAAATAAAGAAATTTTAATTAATCCTGAAAGTTTCAAAAGCAACACAATGTAACACATTTACTAAAAAGCATAGCTCATTGATGCTATCATCATTTTTGTATCAAAGGTCATTATATGCAAATTTATAGCTAAGTTTATTCTGACTAAAGAAGTCAGTGAGAAGCAATCTTGTGCCCACTCCAAATATTTTCTCTTGACTCTTTTAACAGTCCTATCTCTTACTAGAAATCTTTGAAGAGACTTTTTAGAAAATTTTATATGTTTATTTTAATATCTTTAAAAAGACTGTAGTGTTTTTATTGATAGGAAGCTATAGATTTTGTGTCAAAAAAAGACCTGTAGCTTGCCCTTGAGTTTTTTCATGTGTAGATAATTGCCTGAATTGATATCATTACTCTTACATTTATATTCCACTCATTTGAAATATCTTTGAAGAGTGAGTTATTAATTCAATGGAATCTCTGCAACATCATAATCCATTGTTATTTACAGATGTGGGCCACTCTAGAGTGTACACAAGACTTTCTTTCCTTTTTATATAAATTTAATAATTGAATTTGAAACCTTGATTTCAAAACATCAATGACTAATTTCAGATTATTTGTATTATTACAGTGACAGTGTAATACCAACAGAAATACCAAAATTTCACTTCTTAAGAAGAGCAAATAAACCATAATCCTGAGGTACAGAAAATCAATCATTACCAGCCTGTCTGATTATCATTAACATCTGTGATCAAAAGGAGTACACTTTGTACAGATGTAAGAGAAGAAGATTCCAGAAGAACAAAAGCAAATGATGAAGTTCTGATGTAAAAATGAACAAGGACATAAGTATGCTCAAAGGGTCATTAAAAAGAAGGAGGCTCTCCCCCTGGAGCTGCAAGCTGGAGACAAGACACAGAGGGCCTGATGGGTTTAAGTAAATATTTTGGATCTTAGTCTATTACATTTGCAGAGAGTTTGTAACCTAACTAATCTAAACCAGATAATGATATGATATAAAGTTGAAATAAAGATACAAAGTATGATAAGGTATAAAGTAACTATGGCTTTTTATACTGACAGATAGGAATTTTTTAAAGGAAAAAGTAACCAAATATAAACAAGTTTTCTGTAGGTGGTAGATTATGCATGCTCAAAATTGTTTAGGCTTTTCTCACATTAAACTTTTTTTCTGATCAGTATGTATTGTTTTATAAGGAAAAAAGCAAAATTTAAAAAAAATTCATGCAATTTTACTCAAATTTTCAAATACATGGAAAATTTTTAAACAGATGAACACTCCTTGGCAGAGTTCTACCACTAGTTGTTTGCCATTAAAGAGCTAAGTGAAAAAGAAAAAGAAAAAAAAGAGAGAGAGAGAGGCGAGGCAACAGAAAGAATCCAAAGAAGCTTGGCTGGAACCTAACAGAAGCCTTCCCCATGTGACTCTGAAGAGCTCAGGCTGCAGGGGACGGTAATGTGTACTCCATGAAACAGAGTTCTTATGGTCAGCGCTCTGGGAATCACTGAGTCATACTATAGCCCCCTCTTTGTAAATGTCTAAGATACATTCACAGGCGAAAGCTGTTAAACTTTTTGACTAAAGAACACTGAGGAATTTCATTTAACTCAATTTTTCCTGAACTTTCTCTTTTAACCAGAGAAATCTCAGGTGTTTTTCTTTCATAACGCTTTGGGGACTACTTCCCAGGAACACAAATTTGGGGATTTCTGCCTTAGAGAAAGGCCACACCTTCTTGAAATCATTTTTTTTATTTAGCCGTGGGCATAAATAAATGGAGATCAAGAGTTTGATTATAAACATTAGCTTGATCACTAATGGAGGTAAGTCTGTACTAAGACTAGATCTTTATTATTAGGCTCTTAAAAGACCAAGAGGTCTCCAAATTCAAACTGGTGAAAATACTTGAGTAGGATTCCCCCTTCTCAGTACCAGGAACCCAATACAATATTGACAGAAAGAGAGAGGGGAGTGGATTCAATCAAGAAAATGAAAATTGTAAATGAATGAGTAATCAAATCAGTGTGAGATTTAGTTATCCTTTAAAAAAATATGTATTTATTTACTTATTTTGCTGCATCATGTCTTAGTTTTGGCTTCAGGAATTTTGTTGCAGCGTGGATCTAATTCCCTGACCAGGGATTGAACCCCGGGCCCCTGCATTGGGAGCTCAGAGTCTTAGCCACTGAACTACCAGGGAAATGATAATGAAAATGTGTTAGTCACTCAGTCGTGTCTGACTCTTTGCTATCGCATGGATTGTAGCCCACCAGACTCCTCTGTCCATGGAATTCTCCAGGCAAGAATACCGGAGTTGCCATTTTCCTCTCTAGGGGATCTTCCCAACCCAGGGATCAACCCCAGGTCTCCTGCATTGCAGGCAGATTCTTTACTGTCTGAGCCACCGTGGAAGCCCAGGGAAGTCATCTTATCAATAATTGCTCTTCCTCTCCTCTCAACTTCCTTCCTCTCACCATCCATCCAGTGTTCATTAAGTTTCATGCTGTGGTGATATTCATGCTGCCCTTCATAATTACCATCAATCCTTCATTGTCTGCTGCTCTTTGCCATGTTTTCTCTACCTCAAGCTATGTTCTATCCTACTCACCTCGCTCACCCAGACCTCACACACATCCTGCCATCGTAATATGCAGAGACATATAGATCTTTCATTTCTTTGCGGGCAGGGCAGGCGCTCACATTTGTTCATCCTTTGTCAGCTCTACGTGTGTCCAAACTTCCGGTCAAAGATCAAATCCATGATAGAAATTGAAGTCGGAGCACAATAAATAATACACAGCACAGAAGTCAGTACTGAATAGCACTTTAGAATGGTTACTGGCTGAGAAAATTTGCACTAAAACTCACTAGCCAAAAATGTTCAGAACAATCTAACTCTTTGGCTTAGAGCATAAGCTAGCACCCAGAGTACAGGGGGACGGGGAACACATGTGCAGATATGCTGTCTATCTTTACTGCTTTTTATGTACATAGTGGAAAATCATTCAGAGAGGGAGGAAGAAATTTATACCAAATGAGTACAGCACAAATATGATATAAAATGGGGTCTGAAAGCCTTCAGAATGGCTTTCATGGTGGCATGTTTCCAAGTCTGTTCTATCTGCACCCTCAGAGATGGATACATACTGAAAATCAGCTCTTGATCTGAAAGAAAACACAATTCAAAAGAATGTTTGTTATATCATATTCTACCAGCATAACTTGGACACTGGGGCTGCAAAGAGTCGGACACGACTGAGCAACTGAACTGGACTGAACCCAAATATTAAAGGAAGGTAACCAGTTCAGAGGGGCTTCCATGGTGGTGCAGTGTTAAAGGATCTGCCTGCCAAGGCAGGAGATGCAGGTTCGATCCCTGGGTGGGGAGGATCCGTGGAAGAGGAAATGGCAACCCACTCCAGTATCCTTGCCTGGAGAATCCCATGGACAGAGGAGCCTGGTGGGCTACAGTCCATGGAGTCACAAAGAATCAGACACGACTGAGTCACTGAACAACCACCACCAATTCAGAGAGCCATATACATATACTGGCTATGTGACCTTGAACCTGTTAGTGCTCTGGACCTCCCATTTTTTCATCTGCAAAATAAGGATACTTATAGTAACTGTCTCAACTTCCAGAACTGTTGCTATGATCAAATGCATTTGTCAGTCTTCCAAAAAGCATCTAACAGTAGCATGTATCACATAACTGTAAATAAATAAAAACAAGGAATTAAATGTTATCCAACATAGTTGTAGGTAACACGACAAAGGTCCATATGAATATCAAAAATTTTATTTTTGATCAGTCTGTACAATTCTAATTTTTCAGAATTTATTGACAACGTTGTGGTTTCTCTTTCTATTTATGGCACATGGCCATCAATATTTCATTGTGATCAGTTCCTGGACGTGGAAGGTCTGCGTCATAAAGATGCACATGGTTGAGGCTCCTGGAGCACATCAACAATTTGCTCACTTGTGCCTGAAAATACACATTTTTCATGCTAGTAATGAAAACCTTTTTTGGCCAGTTTCTTTGTAAGACTTCTGTTCTTCTTGGCTTTCATTTGGATTATTAGTAAAACAATAATATTTTCCTCTCCACTGGTCACTTCATTTCCTTTCTAGGAATTGCTCATTTTGAGAGATGTTTGTCTTATTTCCATGGTCCACAAGAGATTCATTACAATAATGAATGCCTTGCCCACTCGCAACTTCCCACATATTCTCTTTGCCTTTCTTAATGGCCTTTTAACACCCAGAAACAGTTGGGTGGGGGTGTGAGTGTGTGCATGTGTGTATATGTGTGTGTTCATATTTGTGAGATGCACACCCATGTAGTACTTAAGGTATTTCCATCTATCATTTTTTTCACTACAGCTTCTCTTTGTGTAATCATCATGATCTTCCACCCAGAACCACGTAAATAAGCACCCACATTTCTTTTGGGAGATAATTTTCCAATTTCACTTTTTAATATTTGAATGTCAAATCCCTGTGGAGCTTATGTTGACTATGTGAGTCAGGGATGGGACATTACTAACTTCCAAACAGTCTTGGCTTCATTTAATTCTTACATTTTACAGAAGCCACCCAAACAGTGCACTGCATCATGATTTTATTTCTCTTATGATTTCATAGTGCAACTAAGGGTGCTGAAAGAAGTGCAGTTAGCCAAGTGGGCAGCAGGGAGCCCTCCCAGGCGGTGTCCACATGAAACTCACAGCAAGTTGACTGCTACACACTAAGTCTATCAACAGAACACCTAGAAAAACAGCTGGCTTTTGTTTTGTGTTTGGGTTTTGGTGGGCTTTTTTTTAGTCTAAAAGGAACTTTTTTCAGATGCAGTTTATGAAGTGTTAGTCATACAGTCATGTCAGACTCTTTGCAACCCCAAGGACTATAGTCTGCCAGGCTCTTCTGTCCATGGAATTTTCACTTTATGACTAGGATTAATAAAAATCATCATCACCTTCAAATCCAAATAGAGAAGAACTAGATGCTATTCCATAATAGTCTGGAAGAAAAGGCTTTAAGTGCTTTCTAATATGTTATAGCGGTAATTATAAGATGACCTGTGCCTTTTCCATGAGCCCGCTCTAAGGATAAGCTATTGACCATACGGCGCACACATCCACCCATACCCTGTGTATGTGTTTGTTGTTGTTTGGTTGCTAAGTTGTACATGACTCTGTGACCCCATGGACTGTAGCCCACCAGGCTCCTCTGTCCATGGGAGTCTCCAGGCAAGAATACTGGAGCGGGCTGCCATTTCCTTCCCCAGGGGTTCTTCCTGACCCACGGATTGAACCCGTGTCTCCTCATTGGCAGGCAGGTTCTTTACTGCTGAACCACCAGGGAAGCCCCTATGCGTGTGTTTCCAAAATGTCCAGACAATTTTTAAAGTTCAAATAACCCGATGCCTTAACAATGCAATTCCAGACGCCTGAATAATTTAAAGTATCTTGGGTCTCATTAACATTTCTCTGATACGGAATAGTTAGGAAAGCTGGTTAACTTATGCTGGGCCAAGACACTAGCTAGGTGCAGGATGATCCAGATAGTTCTCTCCACAGATACTCTTAAGGCTAAGATAAAGACAATATCCTATGTAAATAAAGATATCTGAAGTCACACTGGTGTAGTCTGTTTGGGCTTCTTTAACAAAAGACCACAACTTATAAAGACAGTTTATAAACAACAGAATTTTATTTCTCACAGTTCAAGAGGCTGGAAGTCCAAAATAAAGGTGCCAGCATAGTCACGTGAGGACCCTTTTTCATGTTGAAGTCTTCTGATTGTATCCTCAGATGGCAGAAGCTGGTCTGGGTCCTCTTCTGTAATGCACTGATTCCATCCATGAGGATTCCAACCTCATGACTTAAGCACCTATCAAAAGCCCCACCTACTAATACCATCACCTTTGGGAGGTTAGGATTTCAACCTATGAATTTGTAGGGGAGACAAAAACATTCAGGCTATAGCATACACTAAAGTATGCAATCAAAAAAATCTTAT